TTCATTTCCGAAACGAAAGAGCCGGGCTGGAGAGAAGGAGGGGGAGCAGAGGCGCAGTACGCGTTCCCCGTCATGGACATATCGTAAGAGTCATATTGTGGTGGTGGCAGGAGCCTGTCTCTGCACGATCAGGTCAGAAGGTCACCACTACCCGGGGCTCTTCTGTTGCACCCATGGACGCAGCAGCAGGGGTAGCGCATGTCCTGTAGTAGGCCACTACTACTGCTGAAAATGTTTGAGGTCACGAATTTACCGACAGGTGGGTTGTAGGTGGGCAGGGGACCCTAAGAAACAGGCACAACACAGCCAGTCTTTTAGAATGAAGTACATCCTCACAGTTTCTTGAAAGCAAGAACGAAGGGCGAAAGTAAAAGAGAAATCGCCAGCGACAGGAAACGAAGAAGTAGCGGAGAGCAGAGTGAAGAAACAACGCACCCTTGCCGTTCTGACCCACCACATGCTTTCCATGTACTTGAGCAAACAGTAGGGGTAGCACCCACTACCCGACATGCAGCAGCCGAGTACCCACACAGATAGTCTAGTCCCTTTCACTCGGCAAGAACAATAACGCCCGGGCGAACTTGCGTTTACTTGTGGTCATGGAAAGAACATCATGATGACGTATGTATGTACTTCATTCTGCTTGCCGTGGGAGATGCACATCGCTACGCGAGGAAGGCGTTAACCCCTCGCATAGAATGTGCTGAGGTAGATCCTATCCCTCAAGCTCAACCACAGCTATATGCGATACTTCTTCATCGTAGCATCACCTCTCACCCAGCAAGAATCGAAAAATAAGCTGTTTTCTTAGCGGACCCTCATTTTTGCGACTCTCCACAACTGCTGTTCGCGGATGGCAACATGGCGACACAGACAGACAAAATGTAGGGTTTGACGCCGGTCTTATCCGCCGCGGGGGTAGAAGCTACTCAAAGTCGGGCAGGGGTTGTGATTTGCAATTCCCTACGGAACCGTTCTTGAGGCGCCATGAGAGTTGCACTGCTGTTTTTTTTTTTTCGTCTTCACTTCAACTCAGCGCTCACAGCACTAGCGCCATTTTACTCCTCCTCCAACCCGTGGTCACACAGAAGAGCCCCTCTCTACCCTCCCCTCCTGCGGTACGTTGCCTTCGATTTTTAATTCGAGAAGAGTTCAGCATTCTCTTCCCTCTGTGTACACACGAACTAGCGCTATCCACTAGGCCAGGAGTGGAAGCGAAAGAAAAACTCACTTTGCAAGAAAAGCTCGCTTACGCCGGGATTCGAACCACCCCTGAATGACCTCTAGAAGGTTTCGAGGACACCAACACTAGACCACCAGGGCGACCGGTGCTTTAGCCGAGATTATTATGTACAGGCGGCAAGGAAAAATAAAAAGATGTTGGGCGGATGGGACCCTCTTTGTTTCAACTGGCCAACTGTTGTTTGGATGGCGAGACAATTTCCAGTCTTGTTGTTGTCCGCCACAGGAGGTGGAAGTTGATATTCAAACTCGGGGAGGGGTCATGGTTTGCCATTCCCTACCGAACCGTACTCACTCGGGGCACCACGTCGCGGACATGGCAAGAATAACATCCCCCCAACGAATACGTGTACTCTGCTGAAATTAATCGATGGGTGGGTGGGGGCCCCAAAGCAAATCCAACATCGCGGGTTGCGTTGTTGTGGGGATCCCACCGGCGAAAGGCGAGAGAGAGAGAGAGGTACCGGAGAGAAGACAAGGCATTCACTCTTGAGAATTCACTCCCTCTCGTCCCTCTGACCCACCGGAAGCGTCGGCAATGAAATGCAACGAACATTTAAGGGCGGTGACATCGGATACACTGATGAGATGGCATTTAGAAGTGTTTTTTGTTTTCAACCGCACCTAGACTGGCGTCTGTTCATTGGTCAGCCGGTTAGCGGGGTCGATGCTACTAATAGAGACACACAAATTCATGAGCCAGATGACTTTCCTCACAACAAACGCCGCGGGAATAGAGAGGAGGACCCACCAAAAAGGTACTGGGAACATTGGCGATGAGCGCGGCGGTAGTATATGTGGGCCGGACGATGAAAATAATCCGCAACGAACGCGCGTCCGAAGTATAGTAGCGCGGCCAGCCATGGTTAGCACGTGTACAGTAGTGTTCTTCTCTTGTTGCCACGGCATCTGTCTGTAATCGGGAGAAAAGCGTAGACTCCCCCCATGACCCTCCCTCACAGGGTCCCAGATCGTGGCCTTTAGCAATCTGTGTTTTCAGTCTCCAAGACCGACCTATTTTCATTAGTCAGCTGGTTAGCGCGGTCGATGCAAATAATAACATAATAGTATCCGAAACAGACTGCGACAGAGGCACACATTGTGGTGCGGGTGCATTACAGTGCTGGCCCGCTCGTAAGCAACACCTATTTCAGCCGAGGCTCAAATTTTATTGCCGCAGCCATAGTGAGCTGAATTTCGTACGTCACAATTTCTTTTTTTTCCCGATGAGAATTGCACAATTTTTTATTTCGCCATCTCTTATTTTTTCACCATGCAAACTGCACAGTTTCTTATCAACGCCATTTCCGTCGACGCAGTCTTCAGGAGACCCACCGTACTTGCGGCGATAGAATAGGGCCCCGCCCGTTGTACGCGCGCGGAGGCCGTTTCTTATTTCCTGCGGCCAACCTTCAATCCCCTGCTTCTTGTGTCTAGGAACTCGAAACTGTGCCGTTTCGTATCATTCCATTTCTTGTCACTCTCCGCCAAATGAGCTCAATTTCTTAGGCGCTTTTTCTGAGATTTTCAAAATTCTGAGCCTCGAACTCTTACTACGAAGAAGGTCTTTCTTACGAGCGGGCCGACTCTGTATCACCATGCAAAGAACGTCTGAGCCGGGCCCACTGCCTCGTCTGCATTAAGACGAGCGTCTGCCTTTTCCTCCAAACAGGATGGTGCGGGTTGTTATCCTCAAGGCACTACGCCAGTGTCATGCGGATTGCAGACGAGGACTGTTCTTCCGCATTTACCACAGGTATTGGCAGAGAGGGTAAGGACTGTATGATGGATGTCGTGATCCCCCCCGAGGTTTACGTGCAGGAGACAGGGGAGGAGTTCTGCACCAAGTCTGTCCTTCCTTGTAGATGTCAACGTTGTAAACTCATGTATTTGTAAGTAGGAGCATCGACGAATCGGTTCAAACGCCAGGATCCGCACTCGAAGATCGAGCGACAAGCCAGCCAAGCCATCTATCTATGCGGGAACTTTCAAGTTTCTACCCACCTACATTAAATCTTCCCTCCTTACTGCTGCTTTTCAACCTACGGTGGTCTTGGCAAAGGTACCAATAACAGCAACCGCCAACCACGGCCTAGAAGCATTCTGCAGAGGAAATATTGACGACGAGTTACAGTAGTCTTTCTCCTCAAGGCCACCTTTGTATTCACGAGTACCGTACCAACAAAATTCAGAGACGGCTTACCCTCGAGCCATGTGTTGCTCGTATTCTGTCAGCACCCGACGACTGGTCGACTGAATTCCACCACGACCAATAGGTCGGGATATCGTCAGTTGTAGATACTTGAGGATTGTGATGGTATTGAGGACCATTCATTTGGGAGTTACGCGGTGGTGCAGGAAACCCATCCAGGGCGATATTTGATGCACGTGGCACTGTACTTGGTCGTGTTTGGCCGACAGAGAGAGATGGGAGATAGAGCTGGAGATTAGAGGTCGGAGAAGGAACTTGATTGGAGAGAGAGAAAGCACTGGAGGTGGCGGAAGAGAGATTGGAAGTGCGCCACATTCTCACAAGCCTTATCGCATCCACGCATAAGGGGTCCAGTGGACTCACCGGTGGTACCCCACACGAAATTCCCAACACGTACACCCCCCGAGATCTTCAAGACAGATATTGCTTCGAGAACATCTAACATGAGGGAAGGGAAAGCACGAGAAAGACTAAAACGATGTTGGAGGAGGGAAATATGGCGTGGAAGAGAGCAACATCGGTCTCAAGCCACATGGCCTTCCTCACAAAACACCGCAGGGCTATCGAGAACCTGCCCAAAATTAATGGGAATATTGGGGACGAGGGGTGCTGGTGATAGTAGGGGAGAATGATGAAAGCACTCCGAAACGAACGCACGTTCAACGCAACAGCCGTGTTAAACACGTGCAGTTTCTGTTGCATCACGAGAACAAGTAGCAAAGTCTCCCACGACCCCCCCCTCACCGGGTCCAAGATCATGGCCTAATAGAGCTTTTTGTACTTCAGTCGCACCGAGACTAACGTCTTTTCTTGGTCAGCCGGTTGGCGCGGGCGATGCTAATAATAAATAAACACACACACCCGCAGGCTGTAATATTCCCGCTACAAAAACACATACCCACCACATACACTATTAGCGCAGGGCACCTGCAGCAGAAAATGCAGAAGCAGATCACGCAGTTCTCGGAGGTTCACGGTGTGGGCTGAGAGCAGCTTTCGAGACTGGGGACCCGATCGATCAATGAAGGGTAGGGCTAGACTAAGGGACTAAATAGACATTCATGGCAAAGAGGTGGCGAGGACAAAGACTTTTGGCCTACAAGAGACAAGCTTGGGTCCGAGCTTGGGAATTGCAATATGTTTGCGCCCCCGATACAGGAAGTCTAGTCTACGTAGTGTAGGATGTGACCTGCGCATTAAAAAAGATTCGCCCAGCAGAAGTATGATGGGAAATATCCACTTGCTTGAATACTCCCTATTATTGTGCTAACGAGAACTACCAACGTTCCGTTCGAACGTTATGCGTTGATACCCTGCAAACAGCGGTCTCGGTTCTGCCCGACAATTGCAAGTGGTCCTGGCATAACACCGATCCTATAACAAAAAACGGACAGCACAAGTGTGCTGTTGCAGTACTGTATACTGCGATACCGGTACTGTAATTCAGTACAACGGAAGTGTACCTCGTTCTCCCGTTACCTTAATCATCCACCTCTCTCTCTCTTGTCTGACTCTGGCGTGTCTCTACCCTATAAGCAACCACGAGATGTGCGAGACCCCGCTGGCTGCTAAGTTTTTTCCGGGGGATCCTCCGAACCACGGGATGGACAATCTCTGGCAGGAAGAGGCGCTGGACGAACTCATCCGACGCAAGCTGGTGGAGATGGGTCGCAAAACCGAATACGAAGTGAAGCACATGCACGTCCACAGCCTCCGAGACGCGCTGAGGGGCTTCGACATTGTTGTACGAGGAGAGCTAGAGAGTGCATCGAAGGAGAAGGCGGTAGCAAGGAAACAGGCCGACACCGAAGACGCCAAACATGATACCGCCAACAACGAGGATGGTGCCCCGAAGACCGCGATCAAGCAGCGCCAGGATTCTCTCAAGATTTACGGTGGGGAAGAAGGCCAACAGGACCGCGGGGAAAAGATGATGCCGAACCACCCGGAGTCTAGAGTGCAGACCATCTGGGAGATGATGACATGGATCACGGCCCATTCGCCCAAGCCCATGGAAAACATATGGTACGAGTCGAAGGAGCTGATGATGACGCTGCACGAAATCTCGGGACAGAACGCCAGGGGGGCCGTGTGGCCTTCATTCCCTGGCATCGAGAGTTGGTTTCGTATCGCGAAAGACATCGCTCGTCAGCGGGACTCGCCCCTTCTACTGAGCGTGTTCGAGTTCAAGCGGTTCGCGCTGCGAATTGCGTCATCGTCGGCCCTATTAGCGTACAACCCTGGCGAGTACGACAATTTAGTCACGTCGGTGTACAATCTGGGGATCTTGGCGCGGTGGACACACGGGTGGTCCGGGCGCCTGTCGTGCTACTCTGCCTTGTGGACGCCGGGCAACGTGGGCATGGCGCTCCTGGGCGGGCTGACGCTGCTCGTGATCCGCAAGAACGTCGTCACTGACTCTGTACGCTGCCTCCTTGTAGGCATGGCGTCGGATACCATCATGGGGCGGTATTTGCCGGACAAGGTCCGCGCTGCCAGGACCAAAGAGCTCGCCTATAGGTACTCCAACAACAAGGGCAAGACGTGCCGCGGCAGCGGCGTCAAGTGCGTGCGCAAGGCATGTGTGAAGCTCGGGCTCCCGCCTTCGGCAAGCCAGCTCGACGGCGCGGTGGCGTTCGCGGTGGGGTGGGCAATGGAGGCCATCGAAGGCCTGCCGGGCAACCAGGCCCCAAGGGACGGTAACAATCACGATCAGATCGAGGACATCTTCTGCTCCAGCCGCGCGTACCGTTTCACGGACGAACGGCTGTAGTAGATCGAATCACCGAGCATAGTGCGTGCTTAGTGCTGCTTGGAGGGGGCACGTCTGTGTCGAATCTGTGCAATAGTCCATTCGGGTGATGCATTTTGCATTCGTGTTCGGCTGTATCCGGTTTCGAGTTGTATGCTGTCATCTTCCTGAAGAGTACCACAGATTCTGGGAGGATCTCGAAGCACCCCTGGACACCAACGAGCCTCTTGGGTTGGTTGGCGGTACTCGGCACTCGATACTGATCTGAAGGGATCCTGGGGGCTAAGTGGATGCGTGCGTGTGGTGGTAGGGCAGTTGGGTGGCCGGGTCCGGCAAAGCTCATGCTCTCTGCCACTCTCTATTTCTCTCTTCTCTCGAATATATATTCATATCAAGGTCCTGGGGTCATCCTTTCCTCTCTGCGCTGACGTATGCTGTCCGCTCTGAAAACGATCGATCGTGTTTGTACATGAAGCTGGAAATTTGGAAGGTTACCCCGGGTAATGTTTCTACAGAACCGAGCATTGGCAAACATGCTTTGTGTCGACCAGCTATTCGACCACGACGATTCGTCTGACGAAAGGCTTCAAGGGCTGATTCATGTACTGTCTATTGCTGACTCTATACATGGCACGCTGGTAGACAAGGCGTTGGGTACTTTTTTTCTGTGTTAGTGCTTGGCCTGGCGTGTTTTGGGACGTTCTCGCTCTAACGGATGGCACGAAGGAGTAATTTTGTTGTTGTGGCATGTCTGAGTTTTACTTTTCCGGAACAAGACGTGTGGTGTCAATAGGACAATGCCAGGGCTATTCACTGAGCCACTAGCCCAAACTCAATGCACAAGTTGATATTCGACACCCGTTTTGTCCGAGACCATGCCCATTCGGGGGGCCAGGTATTTTAGCATGAACAAGCAATGTGGTGGCACTGGTTGGCTCGTGGAGTTGTGTGTTTGGGGGGAGGGGTCGGTGATTGCATCACTTTCGAGGACGTACACATCGACTATTAACACTTGTGGCGTAGATGCTGATCCACCGTTCCACCGTTGCAAACCCTACGCAAGGATTCAATTCTTGCGGAGCGCCAATCACTGTTCTTGTGAAACGGCGGTCAAGAAGTTCTGACGAAATGAAGGTGCAGTAGACAACGATCGAAGAACTCGATAGGAAAAGGAACGGAGTTGATCAACGACTGCCATATCCGCACATTGGGGTTATTGCTTTCTTACGGACTTGTCTTTGTCGTTTGTTTGGTTGTGGTTTGTTTTTGAGGTGCCTGTTAGCCAGGTCGCGTTTTACCTGCGAACCCGGTGCCTGAGAGTCTCAGGAAAAACGTGCTTCTGGTCGCGTTTTATCTGCGAACTGGGCACCATGCACTGTTTCTAGAGAGGAGAGGCGCGTTGTTTTTCTGGAGGGTTAGAGGGTTGTATTTGGATTGCCGATTGGCATGGCATTGGACTTTGAGCGGGACACTGCTATAATAGTTATACCGCTGTCGAAAAACATGGGGGGGGGACGTGATACCATGGTTCCCGCCGCGGAACATCAAGCAGCGTTTCAACTAACATGAGCTTATTGGTATTTGATTATTGGATTGGGTTTTCGCTTGTTCTGGAAGGATGTCCCGACAGGGTGGCTGTTGAATATGGGTTCATGTTGACGTATCCGCAGTTGTAGTAATGGTACTGGTGGAGGTTCTCTTTGATGTAGTATCCGCTCTGCATTTCTAGGTGTTTTGGAGAAGGAAGGGTTCGCCATGTCTTGGTAAGCTACTGTTGAGGCTTCTTCAGCCTTGGGGACAATAAGATATGTGAATTGCAGGTTAATAAAATGAATAGGCTTTTGTTTGAGGAATTTCATTCGGTCGAATGGATTGACACGTCTCTGCATAGGACGACACCATTGTGTGAGCATTTCCGAGAGTAATTCCAATGTCTTGATGGCTTGGGAATATAGGGCGATGAAGCGGATTTGGTGGGTCCGCCGTCAGTCGTGACTGCTTTTTTCCAGCGTTCTTTTTTAGCTTATTGACGGAACCTCTATCGAGAGGGGGGGAACCACATATATATCAGAAGATCCAGGGAATCCCGTAGAACAATGGCATATTGGTAGGTTTGGTTGGAATGATATTGATGGATGGTTGTTTGATTGGCATTGTCGTTAGTATATTGCCGTTTTCCCTGGCTATACAAGACGGGTTCCCTTGGACCGGGTTACGTGCATGCGTGTGAGTAAGGTAGGGCAGTTGGGCGGCGGGGCCCTCGACAAGGCTCCTCGCTCTCTCTCTCTCTCTCTCTCTCTCTCTCTCTCTCTCTCTCTCTCTCTCTCTCTCTCTCTGTGTCTAATACAATACAAACATGTATGTCAAGGTCCTGGGGGTCAACTTTTTCTCTCTTCGCTTCTGACAATGTAGTCAAGTGGTCATCTCCCAAACAAGCACCAACCCGACTTCCACCGCTCAAGTGCTCCACAATCAAATGGGCGCAAACACGGATCGATGCATGGAAATAAAGGTCCCGATGAAATAATCCTTTGATAGCTTCCGCTTCGGCATGATTGGCAACCGATCGGTCGTGGAACATTGAGCTTTGAGGAAAATCAGTCCATAGGGTGTGTGCTATTTCTCAATGGCCGTTGTGTGTATTTGACAAAGCCCACGATGAAACATCTCCTCGAAGGTAACGTCCGTCCAACATGTTTGCCATAAAGAAGTCTTTATATCATCATTTTCAACCTCGCCGTGTTGCACCGCCCAAAGACGCGGAGGGTCTCAAGAGCAAACCAACACGCGGTTTCTGGCCGTGGCACGCAAACTGAACAAATACTTCTGTGTGGGAAAAAGGGTTAACGGACTGAGTGAGCTGTTGGAAGCTTTAAACCACCAGTCATTTCCCCCAGCCAGCCGAGTAGCCGACGGAGCTACTAATATGTAGAATCAGTGTGCTACATTGGAACCACGGGCATACTCCACAGACGGCGGACTTTCCCCAATGGAACGGCTTACTTCGCCATCAAAACATCGAGGAGCACGCTTGTTCAAAACTGGACGAGGAGCTCGGCTACCATACAGTCTAGTCTGCGCCTGACTCGTGTTGACGGTGGTGCGTCCGGCACAGTCAAGGCTCCATCATGTTATCTATATACTCACAGGATGGTCGTCGTGACGTGATACATTGTAGATAGCGCGATCACTGTTTTTGCTTGACAGCAGTGTGTACCAGATGCCGAACGACTTCCACCTATTACGGCAGGCAACGACCATGACTGGATGGGATACCTTCTGTGACGGGGAGCCATACTAGTTTTATTACTATGCGATTCAAACATCAGTTCGCGTGTCGTGCGCCTGCCACATGTCCACCAACAGGTACACGCAGAGCTTCCCGCTCTCTCTGTAGTGGTTGCCGCGCAAAGGCTCTCCTCGGGGATCTTCCACATCGTATATACTACTGCGGTACTACTGTACATAGAAGTCGTGATGGGACGAGGTACTTACTTGTGTTGTCACGGCAGCTTCCTGCCGTTGCGATTGCCATCGTCCCTTAAGCGCTTGTGTCTTCAAACCTTCTTAGCCGGCCTTCAAACTTCTTGTTGATAAGTCTCCGTGGTAACTTCTCCGCGAATGAGTCATATGCAGTTATGACCTGCGCTCTGACTTTCACGATGGCTATTTTACCTCCCCGTCTTGCAATGGTCAGTACCTGCTTTACAAGGAAGGATTGTATTAAAGTACGACCTTTTCCCCCCTTGCGTTTCCTTCCCCTATCCTTTGCATACCACATGTGTGTCATTAATCGTCGTCGGCCTCCTCGATACTTGTGGATTACCTGTTGGAAATTGTGGGAATCCCTTCATTCCGAGAGAGCCATAGGTTGGCATCCGGCCTTTTCTTTTTTTGTATGCGTTTTTCTTCTTGTGAAGTTTTGACGTTGCGCTTGCCACCGTCGCTTAAGTGTTTGTGTCTTCAAACCTTCTCAGCCGGCCTTCAAGCTTCTTGTTGATGTAAGTCTCCGGGGTAACTTCTCCGCGCATGAGTCATATGCAGGTATGACCTGAGCTTTGACTTTCACGATGCTCAAAACCTGTTGAGGCAACAGCACTGTCACTGCAGTCGCTGTACAGCTATTCCTTCAGCTGTAGCTACAAAGTAGCTGGCATGTGATGCGAGGTAAGGTAGGCAAACACACAGAGTGATCTTTTTATCCATACAGACGCCCAAGCTGTCTTTACCTGACGGTTACAGACTTGGCAACGCCTTCACAATACCGCATAAACCCATGTAGTAGACTAGAGTCGTTCTTGTACCGCAATTACTCCAACAGGTATTTCACCTCCCCGTCTTGCATTGGTGAGTACCTGCGTTATACGGAAGGATCGTTCCACGACGCGAACGTCGACGTCTCCGTTTTTTTTTATTCCCTTCGCACTCCTTCCTTGCGGCGGTTTTCACACCGACTTCGAAAGTGGGGTGCAATTTCCTCTCTTCGTACCTTCCTCGTCGGCCTTCTCCATCGTTATGTATATAATGCATACCTCGATTTTTCGGCTTTTCGATTCCGATAGACAAGACTACGGACTGGCATGTCCCTTTCACCCCCGACGGGACCGCGCGCTCGTCGAGTGCCGAAATTCTTCACCATTTCCTTGCCTCTCCCAGCACCGTCCCTTCTTCCCGCCCCTACAAATAAATCCTCTCCCCTTTCTTCTTCTTCTTTCCTTCTTCCCGGACACTCACCACCATCCGTCCTGGATGTTGGCCCCCAAGCCCCATTGGGGGGCGGGGGGGGCAATCCTTAACCCTAAGAACCAAACCCCGGCGGTGGTGTCACGGCCCTAGGAGGGACGGATAGAACGCTATCGGCGCACACGCGCTTCCTACACTACAGTACCGCACGAGTGCACGAAATGTGACGTATAGACAGCATGAGCAGGGTGGACACGTGCTACCTGGCTTACCAGTTGTGCTTAACGTAGCGGTTAGCCATGAGTCAATACCGGGGTCGTGTGGCCAGATGAGGAGTCAAAATGGAGATTGCGGATGAACCGCTGCTCAGTAAAGTCTGGGAAGTGAGTGCGTGTGGAAGGGGGAAGAATGAGCAGGAGAAATAACCGTGTTGCGTTCGTTCGCAATGGTTGCCCCGACCAGCTTTTCGAACCGGCGTTGGTTGAAACGATCCATGATTCAGCCCGTGAAAGTTGACCCAATTCGCCCAAGTTGCACCGACATCTATCTTTGTACACTTATTCTACATAGTACGTAGAACCCAACGTATTTATACCCGAGACGCTGAACCTACAGTGGTGTTGTATCCGTTGCATGTCACGTCCCATGGACTTGTGTTGGCAGTTCAGAACCCATTCAACCGAACGCGCACGATAGAGATCGACTCGGCGAGCACGTGTGGTCGAGTTCGCTGAAGCTTGTCGGTTGTGAGCCGCTGAGCCAAATTCTGACACCCTCCTCGCCCTCCGGGACCTACCAAGGTAAGAGCGATTGGCAGTCAGTCGTTGCACCTGATCTGCCACGAAGTGAGTGCGCGCCCCCCAGCCGTCGGTATCGGTAAGAGCACACACGTCCCTTCAACATTTCGGAAGCCCGCTTCCGTTGAAGGTGTCGTCGAACGAAAGCGTCAACCGAAAGACCACCTCTACGGACGAACACGACCTACGTGTAGTATTTTTGGACACGACATTCCGTTACCCTCTGAAAATGAAACAAGGCATTCGGCGTCCATCACGCGCTCGAACACAGATGCACCGTCGTCACCTTTTTTCGTCAATCACGCGGGGATTGGGACGAACAATTGTTTTCGGCCCCAGTTCGCGTTTGTGGCTTGCGCGAACAGGAAACGCCACCCTCTCGCCTTGTGTTTTCCTGCTCGCCACGTCGTCTGCCCTCAGCCTTGTCCGTCTACCATTTCTCGGCCACATCTTCTTCATGACGCAGAGTGATGCAGCGCCATGTAGGTGCCTCATAACCTGGCCCGATAGGCTGCTCTAGAGCAATAGGAAACTCTCCGTTGGTTCATGTGCTCCATGGATAGTGCAGCGCGGCGCGCAACTACAGTAGTTACATTTGAAATTCAAGTGCGCAACTACAGTATGTACATTTGAATCTGCACTGCACTCTATGGCGCAACCTGTGCTCGACGGTGGAGACGAAATATGAAACGCAGCCTGGCAGGCCTCTACATTTCTGTCCATATGTGTGTAGCGTCCATTGAAGTAGATGTTTACTTCCACGGAAGCAGACAATACTTCCATGGAAGCTCATTGATTTTAACTTCCATGGAAGCTCTTCCATGGAAGTGTGGGCGACTTCCCACGGACCTGAAGAAATGAACCTAAAATCGGGAACGGACATTGTGCACCCTTGTGCCCTTTGATGGTGGCGCGGAGCCATTTGCCGTTTTGAAAACAGGTCTCCGAAATCAGCATCCGCCACCATTTTGGGAAGGGAGGTAGTGTCCTAGGATTTGGCATGTCCAGCATGTGGGTTGGGAGTATAGTAGTCTTGCAGACTCAGGTGAACCTTCGTGCAATTGTTGTACATGTATGTCGTTCTCTGCCGGTGGTACTGCCAGCGGCGGAACCGACGCCGGTTGGCATGCTGTAGATGCTACTGGCAGGACTGCGGGAGGTAAGGGCAGCAGTGCCCGAGGCCTTGGCACGTCCAGCGTGAGAGGTGGGAGTAGTAGTCTTCTAGACTCAGACTTGAACCCTCATGCATCTGCTGTAAATCGTACCTTTGCTGGTGCTGCAAGCTTTGGTTCGATTGAAACTGTTAGTGGGGCTCTAGGTAGCCAGTCATTCAGTATGTAGCGGGGCTTTAGGTAGCCAGTCTTTCGGTTCGGGAATGGTTAGTGGGACTTTAGGTAGTAATATACGTCTTCTATTCCGGGAATGGATAATGGGGCTTTAGGTTGCCAGTCTTCCATTCCGCCCGCATCTACTCCATCGAGTGAGTGTTGGGGACGTGGTCGCCAGTGGAAACACATCAAAGGGCCCTCTCGTTCATAGCAATCACCCACGCGTATGGTGATCAACTGGAGAGTTGCCGAGCCAAGAAAATGAACCTCGGCATGTAGACTAAACGGTTACAATGCTGTGGAGCGCGAGCACTTTTAGTCCGCACGCCTCCTTGCGGCACCTTGATGATCATGGTGTATGTACAGTACAGGCAGTAGTGGCCCCGTGTACTCGTGTACTACTTGATGTACACGGGGATAACTATCAGAAAATAGCAGAGGATAACTTGCCCGCTGTACAGGAGCAACCTGTGAGTTCCGCCGATGGGTAGCCAGTCGCCCGGAACTGGTGCCGGCTGTGGTTAACGGGTAACTGCTGTATGTATATAGATAGCTGCCTCGTGTTGGCCGTTCGGTGCCTCGATCTCGAACAGGAAAATCGGCAGCAGTAAAAAAACGAGAGATACCCTCGGCGGCCATGTCTTGAGCTTATCAACCACGGAAAGCGCGGCATCCACTGCACTCTCGTCTCCCGCGCTTGTTGAGGAGTGTGTGGGAAGTGAAAAAGCCCCACATGCTCGCGGATCGCGGATGAAGATTTTTGGAGCCGGTCCCGATGCGGCCAGCAGTTTTTCGCGGAACTGTACATATCTCGCCGCTTCTACACACGGAGCCCCCTTCATAAAAAATTCCGCCGCTTGTGGCCGTGTGCGGCCGGCGTTGCGTTTTCGTGGTGCCGCGTCTCTGCTGTCTGGTACACTTGAGTCACTCACGACACCCTCCTGGCTTGATGATGGGGATTCGATCACTGTCTCTCGTGCTTCCTCTGGCATGTTCGCCGGCGGAATCTTTTGTCCTGCCTGCGACAAGGTTGCGGTCCGTTGCGCCGCTGCGACTAGATTGTGACGTGCAATACAGCAGAGGTGCGGCCAGGAGCGGAACTGACGCTGCGGTCAAGGGCAGGGAGCGTTTCATGTCAATGGAGCTGGGGCTCAACCCTGTCAAGCATCGGTGAGAAAGCAGCCACTGTGGTGTGGTCGAGGAAGGGGGGCTAGTGGTTTTTCCTTATCAACGAATCGCCAGAGTTGTCGCACAAGTCAACCTTCCCCAGGCCTTCAAAACTTCAAACCGGGTTGTCCCTACTCGTACAGCAGTCACCAGTGCAGAGTCATGATGGCCGACCGCCGCGATGTGCCCTGCTCAACGATTAAAAGTCGCGTCGGCCCTTGATGTATCTGGGAGTATGCGGTTTTTGTTTGACTTGTGCTCTCGACCACCGCCGTCCATTTCCAATCCCTGTCACGAGTGCATGTCGGCGGCAACAGTACCGACAGACCCAGTTGCTGCGCAACCAGCAACAGCAACATGTGTAACATCAACAACACACACACCCTCGCATTTTCGCCAACGCTGCACCCTCTTCTCACAGCTTTTTCTCAGCCCCAGTGCCCTGGACACCTCGTTTTCAAACCCGCGCTGTAAAACAAGTATCTCAGGTTTACACAACTTCCGAGCGGAACGAACTTGCCAGACACACCTTTGCGGATGTACTGCTGTGGCCACCGCGACCCACCGCTCCCGAATCCCAACACATTGCCCTGGCCTTATGACCAGCTCGAGGGCCTACGAGTGCCTACTGCTGTCGTGCGTGCGTTGTTAGCTAATCAGAGTGTAATTTTGCGTGTGAAAATCTCTGTATTTCGGTGTTGAAGTTAGGGACGCTCGAGTGGTTCAGCATGGCGTTTCACGTCGATCGTGTTCAACCCTCGACCTCAACTGTTGGTCGCTGTTTTTGGCCGGTTCCGCTGTTTTCTGCAGATGTTCATGCCAACCCGTGGGCGCACACCGCTCCAGGTCTCTACCCCTGAGGAGCAAGCAGGTGCAGGCATCAGCGGAGGAAACCAATTTGTCGGCGGATCCAACCCAAGAGACGTTACCCGAGTGCATATCGAACGATGCCGTGTCCTACTGGGTACACCCGGCAAAGGAATCACACATCTGGCTTGTGGGAGTTGTCCACGGCGCCAAGTCCGGGGTGCAGGTATGAGGAAGCCACTGCTGCAGTTATTGGTGGCCTTGTGTTGTGCCTGGGAACTTCTTTTTTTTTTAGGTCGCGTGTTCCGCGTTGCCGCGCTCCGACACAGTTCCCGTTGCCATTTGTCCCTATTGCCCTAACAGCAAGGGTTCCTGCCGAAATTGTGTACATCTTCCAAGCGTTGATGAGATTTGGGCGGGTACGGTTGGAGGGCTGGAGACACTACAGCAAACGCATTTTGGCGCAGCCAAGGGGGCTGCACGGGTGGTGCCGATTTTGTCCTAACCGCTGGCTGTAATGCTGTACATCTCCTGTGTACCGTATATGACACAAGATAACACACCCCCTGGGCCGATTTTCAAAGCTCGATTTCTCAACAGCAGGAAGAGTCACAGCGCCGAAAATGGCGGCGTTGGAACCGTCTCGTCGAGAGGTTTTCGAAAATGTATTGTTTCGTTTATGCATCCTCTTCGTCGTGGAGTAATCGAGCTTTGAAAATCGGTCCAGGGGGTGTGTTATCTTGTGTCATATACTGTAGTTCGCACGTTTTCGGTTCTGCAGCACCCCAACTCGTTGGAGGACGCCCCAGGACTATGTTATTTCGTCTGGGAACAATGTCTCTTAGATACTACCTCCGTCCATTGCGGGTTCTAAGAATACAATGTTCTTGGGTCACCGGTGTCTCCGATACAGACTGTCATGTCCCTCTCTCTGCACGTGGGCGCCTTCTCTCCGCCGAGCAGTTGGTGGAGGAAGCGATCGGAGGGATCAGGCCAGAAGTCGTCATGGTGGAGCTAGATGCGGATCGCATTTGTGTGCTGCCCCCAGGGGAGGCAATGGAGGTGGGTGCGGTTCCGAACTTTGGTTGTTAGGACCGTCGTATTTGTTGACCTTCAGGCACAAACAGGAGCGAGCACGTTGAAGGCCGTAAGCGACGACTGACTTGCTGGATCCCTCAGCCCCAGCCCCCAGAGAGCCGTTGTGTTGAGTCCAGGGACAAACGGCTTGGGTTCCTGTAGGACGGGAGTTTGTTCCGATCCTGCAGTAGCTATGCGATCCCGCCCGCCCGCCCCATATACCGTTCGTAGCGCCCCTTGGGCCTCGACGCCATTGAGTGCATGTCTTACCTGTTTGTTTGAATAGAAAGGGTAGGAATCGCTGTATACTGCTAGGAAAAACACAGGTAGCTTCCGCTGACGCCATGAAGTCACTGCAAATCTATCCCAGACTCATCTGTGGAGATGAACTAACTGGGTGTGTCGTAAGTGAGAAAATAATAAGCTTTTATGCCGCCGTGGTTTCCGCCTTCCGACGTGCTCCTGTCGCGCAGACCCGAAACGGCCTTTGGTGGTGGGCACCAGAGGAAGAACCGGTAAGGATGAGACTTCTTGTAGCGTGCTAATGTACCTGTGTTGTTGTGTGTTGAGAATCAGAAGCTTGGGTCTGCGAAGACTGTAGTCAAGAACAGCTCCCTGGTGGTTTTGGCTGTGCTAGATTGCTTGGTGTGTTCTTTTCAGTGAACGTTAGATCTATTGAAAAGAATTCCTCACTAAAATCAAGAAAATAGGCTGGTGATGCAAATGACCTGTGCTACGGTGGTCTCAGCAGTGAGCAATCGTGTGTTGTTGACAGATATGCGGAGGTGCACTGTAGAACGTTTACAACCAAATGGAATTTTGTTCTAAGAGAAATGAGGGAAAAAATGTTGTACAAATTTGTTGGATTGTTGAGCTGTGCAGGAAACAGAGTGAGCTCGGTGGGGGGCGTGCGCTCTGCCTGGTGAGCTTATTACCAGTCCGGAAACGTTCCGGAAACCAAATACCGTTCTATTTGACCAAATGCACTGTTCCGGAAACGTTCGGGAACCATACAGTTGTATTCTGGACTTTTCCTGTAAACGTTCCTGAGAACCGTTCGAGGAATGTGTGCCGACCTCGGGAACATTCTACGAACCGTTACGGAATCTACTATATCTATGAGTGGATCGTTCTAGATACATTTCCTGAGATATTGTCATTCAAGTTGAAGTTCAATAGCTTACTATACCGCGTTTAGTGTGCCATGTCACGTGCACTGAAACCGGTATTGCTTTGTTCTACTGAAATCGCTCATGATGTATGTGACATCTCACAGTGTTGTGTTAATGATAATACTTTTTATAGCAGTCTTTCTCGGTTGATACTGATATTTTTCTACTCCTCCTCGGTTGAGGTCGCTCAAACCATCGTACATGGCGATTACTTGATCAAACAAGGAGAAAAAACACGACTTGCCGAAGCGCGGAACCCGTCCTCGTTTTTGTAAGAGTAGAGTATGCAATGGCACCACCACCAGCTGGGGAGACGGTTCCACCTCCGGGGCAGACTTTCCCTATGATCCCCTTACACGACATTTTTGCGACGACCACAATGAGGTCGAATCGCTCTCTCCCCGAGTCATCGAGTGAGACGGTATTCCCGTCATCACCTCCTTTGCAGCACCAACCGAACCTCACCCGTTGTTTGGACGGGCTGAAGCAGCTTCTTCTGGTGGACAACTTTCGGAACACTCCGAAGAGTCCGACTGCGTGACGTCTCCTGGTGACTCTGTGCTTTCAGCTTTTCCTGGCCTTCGAACGTGAAGAAGACCCACCTGTCTGAGGCTGGGTGTCTCGACAACGACTGACGGTTGTTGGAATCACGATGGCCGTAGAAAAGGACTGAGAAGCAGAGAATGTAACAAATCTTCGGTAACGATTAGCTCTACTACAGGGCAGGGGCAAACGTACGGAAACGTGGTGTGTTTGTTGGATTGGTGTAGGCACGGGACATACTTCCTGCTGTCCCGATTGCATCGTTGCGGTTTCACTTGCCGTCGTACGCCGCGAGTAAATCGCCCGGAAACCAACCCCTGCACATGCAGAGGAGTCTTGATTGGCTTGAAAACCATTTGTTTCGCTTTTTAGTGTGCAGACGGCCCAGAGTTTAGTTTTGGACTGCTTTAACCCGCCGTTTTGAACAGGAGGGATCAGCTGACGTAGATGAAGATGGCGATGAAGACGGAGAATATGCGGAGGACGACGAGGACGTGGACGACGGTGAGTGGGAGGTGCACTACGCAACGCCGTGGGCGTAGGTAACCCTGCGGCGTCATTTGTTCGAGGCCCTGACAACGAAACACGACGAATGCAGTGGTCCGTAGGGTTGCTGCGATAACCCCTTGAAGGGGTGCTAAACATTCACGATTGATGTGCTCTCATGGACTTGATCATATACTGCCGCCCTCGGCCCCTGCAATAATCTGAGCACCGCGAATGCAGTTATCGCCGGTGCCTCTCGAAATTTTGTGTACTCGTGGGGTGTGCTGGCGATACCGGTGTTAACTGCGACACCCGCTTTTTGTTACCCCCTTCGGCTTACAACATTCCTTCAGAGGAAGAATCAGTTTCACCCATGATTGAAATCCAGACTGCAGTACGCGAAGCGGGAGCGTGTGGTGCGAGAGTGCTCCTCGGAGACAGGGACTACGAGGTGCGGAACCTTGTGGTTTGATGGCGCGTACTTCTGGACGTACGGGTTCGGTTCCTGTTCAGTATGATCCGCAACAGACTGAGTGCAGCGGAAACTCCGCCATCCTTTACGCTTACGGCTCCATTGCGTGGGTTGGCTACGTCGTGTTCGCTTGCTGCCATCCGTTCGTTTGCGGGGGTTACACCTCAGTATTTTTACCCCTGTCCACCATCCCCCATTTGTTGCTCGTGGGCGTTTTCGCGATAGACGACGGGTCGTCTACTGGAGAAAGCGAAACGGGCGGACATGGCTAGCGCAAAGGAGAGGAAAGAGTTCAATGATCTTACGACCAGCTTTGATTGCGAGGTGAGCCTTCTGTCTAGAACGACGGACTCCCGTACCGGGCGTTTGTTTCGCAAGATCTCTTGCACCGTCTGCTGTATTCCAACGCGCACCCAGGAATGAAATTTGTTAACAAATTTGTCGACTACTGTAAGTTTGTACAACCAACCCCCCAAAATGTAGACCTCCGCAGCTCCGTACCAAGTGAGACACACCATAGCGTTTGACTCAGATGGGGGTGATAGTGTGTTCACAAAGTAGAAAATGGGAGCGGCGTGTCCCCTCCAAGCTGTTGTGAAGTGCTTGGCCTTTCATTGAGGCGGACATGTATTTTTGAAAGTGTAAGAGACATCTTGCCGGTGCGAATCGTCAAGGTTCCCTTTCTCGCTGCGTCCGGCGCTTCATTTGGTGAAAGGTTTGTGTGGCAAACGAGAGTATGATGTTTGCCTACTCCAGTATTCGGTGTTTGTCTCACGCTTTCACAGCACCTTGCGCTCACGTCAGATTGTTTTCGGTTAATCGCGTCGGACAGGAATCAACACGAGTGATCACACGCAAGGAATGCGCGCAGATGAAAGAACGAGCGCCCAAAGTATTCAAGGTCATGTGCACTCAGCGAGATCAGGTGCGTGTACATCCCCTGCCCTTTGTCTCGTCCTCTTGTGCATTGAAATTCGAGGTCACGTTTCATTCGTCAGAAGCTTGAGGAAATGTGTTGCTGAAGCCTTCTCATATTTTGCCGACGACTTATCGCGGGAAGATTGTGTCCTGTGTGCCACCAACTCCTGCTTTCCGGTTGACCGAGGCCACATCGCACACGGTACGTTGAAACTGCAAGCGACTGAAACGAATTGGATGACTGTGACTACATACAGTACCCCGCTTTCACCTCTCTATTGGCGAAGCTCATTACGCTTCGAAGGCAAACTCCGGCCTACCGCTCTGATAACACGCGCGCTGTAATTTCGGCCGCCAAGTGTGCTTCTTCGATGTCCTCTCATTGCTTCTTTTGGTAGATTTTGCCTCTGCGCTTACCGATGCTCCGCCAGTCTCAAACCTTGCACGGGGGTTTTCCTCTGGGGTGATGAATGTCCGGGAAACAACTGTTGTGCCGTTGTTGCGTGCGGTTGGCCTCGCCTCGCCTCAGTTAGACACTAGCGACTAACAGATGAAGTTTCCTTGCATGCATTTCGTTCTAAAAGTCCCTGCCGTGATGTAGAGCGCCCGTGACAATCGTGCCGGCTCACACTCGAGCTCTGTACGATGCTACCGATCCCTTCGTATGCTGCTGCAGGCGACCAGCTCAAGGTATCATATTTTTTTCACTCTGAAACCGATCCCGTCAATGTCGCTCGCAATCGTTAATCTGCGAGTAAATATTTTGGATGTCTTTGTCTTGCTTCCGCAGGTGATGGCGAAGAACTTGATGAAGCTGCGGGGAGAGCAGACGACGGTAGCGGTGATCGGAATGGCACACCTTGATGGCGTCGAGAAAGTGTTGAAGGGTCACGGCTGGCAGCGTAGACGGGCGTAAGCGAATCAACCCCAAGAAATATCAGCGGTGCACCCAGTTCTCATACTCCCGTACGGGGCTTGTAGCATGGTGCCAGCCAGTGGTGTTCTCAAGGAACTGTGGAATTGTGGTTGTTGTTGTTGTTGTTGTCTTCACATTAAAAGCCGTTCCGGTCTCCTCTCAGTATTTTCTAATGTCCGTACTGGTCCAACTGACGCGGACGCCTTCCGTGGTCACAAGCCAACTGCCGCCAAAGGGGGGCTACACCTTCCAAAAAATTAAAATGGACACCAGAAAAATACTTGGTCAAGGCGCTATAGGTTTTCTACCCAAACAAAAAGAACAAAACAAAACAAAACAAGGGAAAAGGGCTAATAACTAATAACCGGGATGCAGACGATCGACACAGGCCAAAAAAGGGATGACAGCATGAAAGACAACGCAAGCGAGAAAAGAAAGAGAGGGAGAAAGACAACGGATCCGAAAGGGAAGATAGACAGGTTCCCTCCGACACTCCAGTCTACCGGAACAACAACGAAAAGGCAACTACTACGTGACACCAAACAGGTGACTGACTTCCTACGACTCAAATCACTTCGGGGGCACTTCGAGAGAGGGGGGGTTAGCGACACGACGGAAAAATAAAAATATGGGGATACGTTTGACTGATATTCCTGCTATCGTCGCCATCGTCAACCTCAGTCCGGCACACATCTCTCTATCCGTTCAGCCATCTCCGTCCTTCCCTCTTCATATATTTAGAATTCAGGTCTAAATAGCACGGTTTGAAATTGGAACGCATGCGATCATTCTTTTTCTGCCTCGATTTGTGCCTTGTGGGCAGAGATACAGCCGGGGGGGTGTTTAGACACTAATCCCCCCCCGGGGGGGGGGTCGTAGAATCCCCCCCCTCGGGGGGGATTTAGACACGCCGTTTAGGAGCAAGTGCTTTGCGGCAGCAAGACAATCCGGAATTCCCTGTAGTGTCGAGGGGCTGATGCGATGTATTGTGCGAGGTCATAAGACTTGTAAGAGTCTCGCCTTGCTGCTTAAACCTTTGGGTGGCGGTATTCAGCGCCAAATACGGATACGCCACTCCAAGATGTGATTTACAAGCACTTTGACCACGCTCAATGGTCTCCAAGGATGACTCCCCTGTGGGTGCGGAGAGTTCTACCTAGAACATCAGCTTCGTGTTCACTGAACAGGAGGTATTCCCTCCCAAGATCTCGCGATTGTTTGGCTTCAGCGAAGGACAGCATTCGTCGCGTCTTCCACGCATCTCCCGATTAAAGCTCTCCCAGAGATGATTCGCCCAGTGGGTGCGGGCAAGGTATCCATAATTAGCTTCGCAGGTGGACAGAGTTCTGCCGAAAATTTTGCTCCCTTTCCACAATGGGCTCGGCCGTGAGGCGAACGTCAGGTCTCCTTGGAGGCGTAGGAATCTCTGAGCAACGCTTTCGGTCATGCCACCGACGACATCTCCATCAGACCACCTGAGCGCCTCATCTTCGCCGAGTTTTCCATCCGTTGGCCTTCAAGATTCCTCCGATTCCTATCGTGTGGTGAGCCCCAACTACAGCTACCGTTCCGTGACCCTCCTCGAGTTTCAAGAGATTGCTCGCCATCACCTGGTAAACCGAGATTGTGAAGATAGGGAACATCAGTGAGCGTCGTTCTCGGCCCCACAAATGGCGACAAAATACGTCCGAAATGTACCTGTAGAGGCAACAGGCTCCGTCGCGGAGCTGACGGCATCAGCTGGGCGAATGGATACAATAGGTGTGCATGCTCCCCCACGTATCTCATTCGAGTCTTGGCGACGGTTGCACCTACTGATGTCCACGTCGATAATTTTTGTATGGGCTCACCTCATCTCGCTCGGTCACGAGGACAGCAAACTTTCGTGGTTTCCAGGTCTTTTCCAAGTCGCGCAGCTTGCGCCACAAAGCGGGCGATGTTCCCTGCAGAGCCGTTTCGGAAGGTAATATCGTCAGCGCCCCGTGACATGTTGGGCGTGGATAGCTGAGTTGATGCTTCATCACGGCTCTGGTCTGGCAAGAAAAAAAACAAGCCATCACGTGGCCTTCGCACAAATCACGGATGGAAAAGGGGGAGAAGACAATACGCTAATTGCCAACGGCTCCCACCAGTTTTGGGGTCTCCTGCCCAAGGTGAATATCACAGTACCGTTGCCGAGGAAAAATAGCGAAGAAATAGCGAACATTTCTCCACGCCATGCCCATTCATGGAATCGCCAACGGTGTGCGGTCACACGAAACACACCACCGTTCCAGCTGGTGAACAGCAGTGTTGCATCTTCGAGGCTCAGCGAGATGTGTGCCTCGAATCTAGCGTCGTTCACCTCGAGGACACGTCGCTTGATTCGCGCTTCAACCGTGGTTTTCTTCCCCGCACTGCTGCCCCCGAGTGAACTCATTGCTTCTTCCTGGTCCGCACGGTCCGCGTCGGAGACTCGGCGCTTGGTCTCCTAGAGCGACGTGCACGTCGACATGCGAAACAGGGCCTGGCTGAGGACAACGTGCCAGGTGCATTCCGCGCCCGAACCTCATAGGTGGAGCTCGAAGAAAGCTGGTTCGGCTTTTTCGGGATTGACAGTTTCATGGACTGTAAGTGAAGGTGTAAAACAGAAAATAGGACTCGGTTGAGATAAATTTGTCCGATGTCCACCCGTTCAAGGGACGACTTAGTGCGGACTCTATTCTCTGATGTGTGAGGCCACCCCGAATACTTTTCGCCAAGAGGTCCCTTGCGCGGGAACAAGATTGCAAATGGTCCAAGCAGATAAATAGCTCAAGGTGCAGCTTGTGCTGCCGATGTCAACCTCGACATGCACGCGGCCCAGTTGCAGATCGCTGGAACGTTTTGTGTCTAGGCACGAGCTCGAACGCCAAATCCTGCAAGGGCTCAAGCACGCGGCTATCAAGATGGAACCGGAATGACCCACAGGAATGCACACCACTGTCATCACAAACAGAGCGCGCGATACCACTTCTCTTGTGGACTTATTTGAACACAGTCGTAGGTTGTGGCAATGTACGCCAGTCGAGGATCTTTTTTGCTGTCACTCGCACCGACCACTTCAAGAGTTCGAACATCACACAAGGTCCAAAAAGACACGAGGAAAATACAAGCTCCAGACACATCGACCAGGGCATGAACCGATGCGAAGTAGAGCTGGAGACGAAGCATACTGCCAGCTTCACATAACACTCCCACCAACCTGGAAGTCTCTGTCTCCGAGAAGAACGCGGGCGCCACAAGCGACAGCCTGCCGAGCTGCTGCATAGAACTCGCTCATCTCCATTCCGTAGGTATTCATTCCGTTCTTGGCCCGGCGTCTCGTTCCGGCGACAGCATTCGTCGCCGTTTCAAGCCCATCACCTGAAATAGAGACAACGTTTACAACATCGAAAGCCGACACTTAACAAGGCAGTCTCCACGATGAAGTTTACGAAAAAATAGGCTGTCCAAGACACCGAAAAACGCTCACCAGAAATATGGTAGCCTCATGCGGACGCGAATGTGACCATGATAATTTGAATGTTTTCATCTCCGATGAATGCGTATATCTCCCCGGCTCTGGGACCGTTCCATGACCTCTGCGGTAGTAATCAGCGTACATAGACTTTGAGCGTCACTGAGAGCCAACGCTGTAACTTCTCCATGCAAAACAAACCCATGCTTCTCGCGGTAGATACTGCACTTACCTGGAGTCCGGGATGTGTTCGCCGCTTGGGCTTCATCCTTGTCCCGATCACTGCTAGTAACAGCAGTTGCTGGACCCTGAAACGCACATTTAGATACCGTTCATGTTCACATATCACCGCAGCGGGCGGACGATTTGCTAGGACACTCGAAACAAACCTAGTGGCCCATACAAAGGCTAGGGTCGTTCGGTATCGGCGATCCTAGAGTGTGGCATCAACAGAGCTGCAGTCGAACGAAAGCCTGCCAGGCTATGACTTCACGATATGGTTATTCTCCAAAAAGATGGGGCGCTCTCTGGTAGATACTTCATTTTCCGGGGATATTCAAAGAGCGTTTCCTTCCATGTTGCAGCCAAACGAACATCAATGACAAGGAAAGTTCTCATTGTAAGTTGACGACAATAATTGTACTTGTACATGAAATGAAGTGACATTCCGAATCTCCGTTGTTCGACGACGATTTCAGTCCGCGTGTGGACTTTCAGTTCTAGGCGACTCCTCCTCACCGCCTCTCGTACGGCATTCCACCACCACAGGCCATCGCCGTCCTGCAAGGATCAATAATTCAGGGGGGAAAGAACGCGACCAAGCAAACGTATTTGCCAATGACACGAAAACACACCAAGCGCACGGCAAACGCCTAGCAGGATCTCCGTCAGAAGAAATCTTGCCCACTCGCCAGCTTCAAGTGCATCTAATCGTCAAATATGCGCATACGTAGGGGACAAGCATGCCTGATGTGGGTTGCGAGGGCGCGGTACTCGAGAGGGTTCTGGTCATCGGCGGTGGGCGTTTAACGCCATGGTTGCGACATGGAAATCGCGCAATGTTGACCCACCGTTCGTCAGTGTATTCACGGTGGAACGTAACCCGTCAATCCTCCACGTGGCAATCCCCGACAACTGTTGGAGGAAGCTAAAACTCAGGATCGCCATCCCTACGTTCTTCGTGTGTCGTACCCTTCGCCAAAACTCTCATGGCCTCGGAACGCTGGCGAAAGACGAGCGTGTACAGCAGTAGGAACATCACCCCGGACGGGGAAACGACCAGCGAAAAAAACAAGACCACCCCATACCATCATACCTGGTACAGACGACGACATACCTTTGTTGCTTCTCCCGGAGGCAGCATCTTGATCCGACAAGGGTCGATCTCGACCATGACAACTTTCGGCTTCACCCTCCGGACAACCTTCTTGACCAACTGCCAAAACCATGTACCGACATGCATCGAAGCAAGAGGGCAAGCTCACAAACGGAATATCGCGCACTTCGACGAGGCACAGCGAAGATGCCAGAAAGAGAACCTGACTACAACATAACCATTGCAGTGCAACTAGCGGTGATGCGTGTGGGCTGCCGGAGGTCGGGGGCATTCATTTTTGTTGTAGTACAGAAGTAGCGTGTGCTTCTGACAAAAGAGGGTGCAGTGGGGTTCGCGTCCCATCATCGCCATGACCAGGCATCTCCGAGGGGCGTGCTACAAACGGCGGTCATCGTTCACGTAACCCTGTCCGCAGTTTGATCAGCTTCAGGGACTGACACCAACCTATTTTGGGGTTGACTGGTTTTGAAAAAAAACGCAAGAGCATCAGAAAATATATGCGAGACACAAAAGACCAGTCGTAAGGTATCGAGAAAAAAAAGTCGTTGATTCTCGCACAGGGCGGCAGTTGGGGCTGCTCGAAACATACGTATCATGCAGTCTTCCTCCACACACCTCCTTTCAAATCAAGAGAAAAATCCACACCAGTCTGAGTTTATGGGCCAGTCCGCAGGCGCCCAAACAAGGTCGGTTATGCTTATTATCTTACGCTTGCTACTGATATCATAGAGGACCCTAAGCAGCGGGGGGGTCTGCTTCTTGAGTGGTGATATCGGGGGTCGCACTAGCGGCCTAGGGTATAATCTCCGCAAATTTGACCGCCGCCCAGTGTCTTCATTTTTTGTTTTTGTTGTGAAATGAAATTGACGTACTGCTTGTGCTCGCCGCAATCTCCTAAACTGCGGGAATATCGTAGTAGCTGATGCCACTAGCTACTGCTGACGACCCGCCGCAGGGGTTCACGGTCCGTCGCGGTGAGCACGGCTGTGACAAATGTTTGGTTCCGGCACAGAGTTGCGGACTGTTCTCAGAGACTGGTGCCACCTTCGATACTACAGCTACAGCCGTAATCCTGAACGAGCCAGCTCACACGACACCTCTCTATAATGTCCTCTGCAGTACTGATAACGTAGCTAAATAGCGTAAGATAGAAACGGCGGGAACGTTGCTCTCCTGTGTACACCATGTTGTATAGAGCCAGCGTCAGAAGAAGGTTGGCGTCAGTTTCTTAACAAAACCACAAGCACGCGCGAAGCTGCTTATTCCAAAGAATCGTGGGTGAATCAAGGTAACTCTGGCCGATCTGATCACACCACCCACACGACAAGCACCTCCCATCTCTAAAAATGGTAAGCGGCAACCTCCAAGGATCACCTCGCACCGGCGCCAACCTGTCCTAGGAAACAAACGTACAGGACCGCACCTTCGAGCTAGCCTTGGTGTTGTGGGTCGTCCCCACGAGCCAAATTTTGGAGCTTGTGTTTGGATCGTGGAAATAAAACACGTCGTCGTCGGACAGAAACTCGGGTGGTCGCTCCGAGCCTACCCTCCTCGAGTTCGCGTGCTGAGCCGTGCAGGCGCTCCTGATAGCAATGCGACATGACGGTTCATGCTGGAATTTAGGGGTTGAAGCCGAAGAAGATGGCAGTAGTCGCGCCCCGCGCGGCGAAACGAATGAAGAGGAAGTTAAGAATGTCAAGGCGGAGTACAAACACAGCACGCGATGCCGATGCCTCATGATCCCTCGCTCCAGCAGGCAGCAGGCTGAGGAAGCAGGTTGATGAGGCTTTGGATGACATGTTACGGCGGGGTCAGCGCCTTGATGACTTTACATCACGGAGCCCCTTAATCTCGCCGCATTTTTGTGTAAACCCTATCCGCGATTGAATGCATCCTTTCGCACAGCTTCAGCGTACACTAGAACGCGCTCGCGCTGCCTCTCGTCACGGAGAGAAACCATGTGGCTCAGAGCCGGGCCGGTGCTGCTGGGTTTTTTCTCCTTGCCGACAGGCTCGTTCGTGCTGCCTCCAACGCCTATCTTGGCCCGCGTCAACTACAGAGCTTCTGCTGATTTTCGGGCTCCTGTCAACGGCGGAGGGCATGGTGGGTTTACAGGGCCTGGAGCTGAGCCACTCCAGCGCCGGTGAGCTGGGTGCACGCCGCGAGTTCATGCTACTCCCACGCACAGCTGTTGTTTTGCACCCTCCGCAGAGGCGTATTTTGAAGCCGTTTAAACCCGATCCATATCTGTCTGTTGCTGTACACTGTATGGTAGACTACTGCGCCGTAGGCATACTGTACGGCAGTGCTGCAGTCGATATTTCACTCGCGCTGTAAGCGTGGCACCTACCAACTGTCGTAAGCTACAATTGTACATGTAGGCATGCGTTGGGAGGCAGGCGAGACAGGCTTACTGCCACATGCGCTGCGCTACATGTGTGAAGAGGTGTGTGCTGCATAGTGCAGTCGTGTCTGTTCGCGTGCCTCTCCGCAACTGCTGCTCGCATCGGTCATCACAACGGGCTTACGACAATACTCCACGATGCCTCGTGTGAATACACGAGCAAAAGGCTCCTGTGATTATCGATGTGGTTGGGGACAATAGTACCGATGGCATGACGTATCGGTTGACACTCCAACGCCTGGTTCACTCCCTGCAGCATCTGGCTTGAGCAAGACACGCACGGTAGTACCTGGCCTCTCGCAAGGAACCAGCAACCGGGCTCGACCATGCGTTGCGCATGGTACAATGTGCTTCGTTTGTGTTAAGGAGAAGTCGAGTATTTCCTGCTACGGGAAATGTGAAGTACTCGGGGCTGTTTCACTCTGTTCATGATTTCCTCGGTTTCTTTCGTACGACAGGGTGCATTTCAGAGAGCAAATCTCGTTTCCTCAAGGAAGAAAATATGCTACACTCTTCATCTGCGTCCTTCGGCTGCTGCTTCTCGTTGTGTTGTGGAGGCAATTGTTGTTACAATACAAGCTTGTTGTTCGTGCCCGGACGGTGTGCTTCCTTGGACGGTGCTCCTGATCCTTACGCGTCGATTGTCTATGGGGAACCGCACCGAATCCGTCTCCCGCTGCATCCACTACAGCAGGATCGCTCCAAAAAGCTGCCGGTGTTGCTGCAACTTTTGCAGGGGTATGTCCCACGCCTTTGGTGGCATACCCACGTTGATGGCCACGAATGGCATGAGGCTAGCATCCCACGAAGGAGCCCAATTCTCCGCGAACGCACGATCTGAGGCAGTCCCAGCGTTTACCTCCAACGATGGCGTTTCGTACCTTCGGAATCCGGATACCGGATCAGAGATTTGGCTTGTCGGGGTCGTGCACGGCCAAGAAACCAGCGTGGAGGTGAACGGAACAGTTGACACGGTCGTAAACAACGGCTGTTACTGTAAATTTCCATTTGGTGCACCACAAGTGTGGGGGCTGCAGCCTCCAATGCTTTGTGGCCTGCAGCGGCTTTGTTGACCTACATGGAAAGAACAAGCCCCGATTTGTCTTCCCCATGGTCACTCGGGTAGCCGGTCTGGTGTGCAAAGGGCTTTGATTAGTTTCGAACACCTTCAACCTCGCGGGGAGCAGAGTCTTCCAAGGTTACGTTCTCTTTTGAGAAAGAAAGATAGGCTTCTCAAGTGCCAGTAACTTTGGCCTCCTGGATTTGGTAACGAATTTGAGCTGGCGGTACCTCAATGTTAACAACACCTGGAACGAGACCAGATATATTGTGTTTCGTCTTCGCAAGCGTGTTTGCTGTTTCGTTTGTTTTTTTGTCTCCATGAGCTAGAACAACCCCAACTTAGTGGAACCCACTGTTGCACGAAAATCTTGGTCTCACACGGCTTTATGGTCTGCATCTTGCTCGATCGTGCAGCTGTCGAAGAGCGTGGTCCGGACAACTAGGCCGCAAGTCGTCATGTTAGAACTTGATTCAAAACGCCTCGACGACTTGCCACCAGGAGAAGCTCAAAAGGTAGGCCTAGCTCTCGCTGTGTGGTATCGGCCCCAAAGAACGTCTGGCCGAATTTGGCCGAATGTCTTGCAGCTTTGCATGCATTTGATCAAAGAACTGACATCAGCTCCACTCTGTTGTACGCGATTGACAAGGCTTGAGTAAGCGACAGGCCCTGTCTGACACCTAGAAGCGTAGCTTGGTACGTGATCATTTTGGAGGGCTGTATCGATTGTGCGCGTTTTCTAAGGTGTGTTGTGTCGCGAAATCACATGTTTTAACGCCCACCCCTCTGTCCCGTGTGTGTGTGTGTGCGTGTGTGTTTATTCGTTTCGCCTTTTTTTCCTCACCGATGCAATCGTGTTGTATTGCGGCAGGCTGAGGACGGGCTGACCTGGTTTATGCCGGAGAAACAACCGGTGAGCTCCTTCCAATCCGGGCATGACGCAGACCATCGGTCTCATTTTTTTTTTGAGTCGTTGTGTTAAGTCTTGATTTGCTTTAGAGTAGGTCAGAGGGTCGATCGTCAGCTAACGGCAGCATGAAGGGGTTGGGCTCGATTCTTGGTGACACGGGTGTACCTTCAACCTTCAAGATGTGGGCGTCCTCTCTCTAGCTCACCCGAGCACCGCGTTGTTGAAACTCGTTTCGTGTGTCAGGACGACGCCGTTGCTCAATACGTCACCTTGGAGGGCGGTGGCGACGACGTTGAGTTGTCTCGCGGCGACAGGTGGAAAGGGCCGTTTTCTTTCATGTCCAGCTCGAGGGCGAAGTCGTTCGTGGGGGCCATCAAAGCCATGGTCGACGTTTTTGGTGAGATATTTTTCTGGTGCGTGCCCTTTGTGCTTGCTCTTGCCGTTTATTTGGGATGTTCTTCATGCAAACAATTTTCTTGTCCTCAGCGGAGAACGTGAATACGACGCAAAGCTTCTATCCGTGGAGTTCGACTGCCGGAGTTTCACAAGTTCTGACAAGTGTACGGCAAGGGGAACATGCGAAGAGAAGGGCGTTGTAATATGCTGGCGGAGGCTGCCATATAAAACGCCGAATCTTCCATACGGCAAACGTGTATATCTAAACGGCATCGTGTTGCGTCATTTCCTGGTAGTCAACCTCGCTAACCTGCTAGTAGCAGGCTGTGGGTTCGATTTCTCTCGCTGGATAACTTGCAGTCGAAAACTAATTACTTCGTGAGTAAACACACTCCGGTTGCAGGGTTTGCGCGGAAAAGGGGCGGCTGAACCCTGCTCTCAATCGAAACTAAGGCAGGGACGGCAAGAGGAAAGGTGGGGCAATCAATATATCTTATGTTAGGATAATAGGCTCCAGCTTGACCTTCCTCCTGTGTGACCGGGGTGTGACGTCGAACACATACACCGAGAGGTGTGCATACATTACCGAGAATATCTGGCACGAACACACACATACGTTGCACCACAACCCGAAGCAGCAGGACGATATGTCATTCTGTTCGACCCCTTTTTTGTTCAACTCTTGTCTCCGCCCTCACACCAACCCGTCCCCCCGCCCCCCGCGGCGTCCGATGTGCGGTGTGCAGAGGAGGAAGAAGTCAGCGAAATGGAAGTTGCAGTGCTTGAGGCTCAAGCCTGCGGTGCTCGGGTTCTCCTTGGGGACAGGGATTTCGAGGTGAATGTCCTCATCTCGTACGGTATGAGACCAGGCACCAGCTCTCCAACCTACCTTGGCGGACAATGATTAGAATAATTTTGGTCGATAAACTGTAGTAACTATTTTTCTTCGGACGACTGCATTAGACGTAGGAGACGGGCTTAGGTAATAGAGTTTAGCTCAACGCAACGAAACCAACTGCACGCTTACTCGTTGTCTGCCTTTTTAATTGTTTTTCAACCGCGTTGTTGAAAAGTTGATCCCTATCCGCATCTGTGCAACACCGAGTGTCACCGTCGACTGAAATAGATGTTCGATTCTCTGAGAATTCACATTTTTTCTTTTTTGCCCAACCAACGGTTGACTTTCACAACCCTACACTTGATGCAATGGGATGATTTCGTTTTGGGACCGGCAGGAGACTAAGCGAAGGCTAGTGGCAGCGGGGCTTGCGGACACAGTAGGTGACGAACGGCTGGATGATCCGGAAGCCTTGTTGAACGACTCCATGTCCGTGTCGAACAGGAAGAAGTTCGCTGGCCTGGATTTAAGGGTATGAAATCAACATCACCCGTGACTTTTGTGCCTACACATGTGGTTCCATTCGCGTCTTTTTCGCGGTTTTTCGTTTAGAGTTGGATGTGACAGGACGCGCGGGTACGTTGGTTGCATGACCCCCCGCTTGAAGTCACTCATGTTCAATCAATAGTATACACGATTCAGCAGGGACAGAGCTACGTGCCGTGAAGAGTGTTGCAATATTGTGTTGATGTGACTGTGAGCGGTTGTTCCGAACCATCCATGATTGAGGTGTAGAATACCATGTGGAGCGAATGTAGCTGCGAGAGTATTCCAAGTGTACTGGTTGTCGTTGCATATCCCAAACGTCGATGGTCAGCTGCGTATGTTTGTTTCCAGCGTTCCGCGGGTACTTGAACATGAGCATGTTATGGTACCATGGTTGCGTGTTCGGACAAAATGCCTTCGATTCGATGCGCATTTCTACAGAAGCCGGAAACGCGTGAGACTGCGGGAGAACACTACGCTGCTATGAAACGTCTGTCCAACCAACGGGCCCTTGAGGCTATGGTCCCTGAGCGAGATGAGGTATTGCGCGGTCTTCTGGTCGGGGGCATGCATACCTCGTCAATTTCGTATCGTATTTTGGTTCCGTTTGCTGATACTGCTATCGCCGTTCTTACTTTCTACGGTTGTTGCTTTCGAAGCATCTCCTTTCGCATGATTTCGATTGTGGATAAGGCATTCCAATTAATATTGCGTCATCTCGAAGTATGTTTCCTGGACGTCTTGGGTTGTGATCAACTGAAAGTGACCAGTTCCGTGATATTACACAGGGGCCGATGTTCAGTCACCTTCCCATATTTCTTTCCTGCCGCCTTTTCTCACGGCATTCCATGTTGTTCGCCGCTGTTGAGGGCAACGTTGGCGCAGCAGGTTTTCTGACGCCATACGCTGCTGGCGTGTTTCCTTCTCAATTTTTCCTTCAGGTGATGGCGAGCAACCTCATGACCATAAAAGGGAAGCCCATCACGGTAGCCCTCGTTGGACTATTTCACGTGGACGGCATCGAAAGGATCCTGAAGCGCAACGGTTGGAACCACGGGCCGGCATAACCGCCCCTTCGCGAACGCACCCGTCCATCAATTCCGCCGTGGCAATGTCACCATGGGCGAGCTTTGAGTGCGCTGGGAGCTCTTGGCACTGCTGAGAATGCATCGGCGCTGTGTAGTAGGAACGTTGATGTCCTGACTCTTCCTAGCGGATGCGAGGTCACGTGATGATCGGCAACGGAGGAGATTCCGGTCCGGAAACCTGGGTGCGTGGTGAGCACGACATATACAGCACTGGCTAGGCCTGTGCGAGTCGTGCATGCGCCATCTCTCGGTGTGCTCAGTTTATTTTGTGAACGACCCGAGGGCCAAGGCAAAGACAGGCACCTGCCTCCCCTGGAGCGACATGCCCACCCCGTACCGTATGGCTCGGCATGGAACAGGTGCCATCCAATGCTTTCGAGAACAGTAAACGCTCCACCGGACTGAGTGGAGACTACACGACGCCCGCGCGTTCCACTAGGCGGGCTGTGGACAAGTGATTGCTCAACGCCGCAGGTGCGAAAGTGTTACACCTGTAGCGAGACGTCCGTTCCGTGAAACCAACGCCGGAGGTTGCAGCTGAGAGCGGAAACCTTGGAAAAGAAGGATGTTGGCGGGTGAAATGGCGTGACACCTGACGGGAATGCTGCCATGACAAACCAGACGAGCCAGCGACTTCCGGCGGATGTACGAACCACCGGGCGTTGGAAGAATGTTCTCGTGAGCTAGCTCGAAAATCACTGCCGCGGCACAACGCTTAGCAAGACCTTCGGATATCTCAACGCTGAACGCACATGTGCGCTTGGTCCACCGCTATTGCGACGAGGCAAGCCCACCGACCGCAGCAAGCACCCGTCCTGCTGCCTAGGCAGACTAGGAGGCTGTATTGGGGACGCAAAGGACACAAGCGGCTTAACGAGGGTAGCGACAGCGGAGATCGTTAGAGGAACGAAGACGGAGAGGGTTGACACGACACCCACAAGTCTTTCATTGCTTCTGCGCCATCGACAAAGCTACTTCCCTGGCAGCGTTCTCATGCTCACGGGAATGTTCGACTACTATGAAGGGCTTACAACGGTCTTTGGCGTGATTGGCGCGTGTTCACACCATGCGGTCATGCAAGCATGTCCGGGGGCGCCCTCTACTGTCGTTATCAACATCGCGGACGGAGGGTGTACCTCCATGGGCTGGTGTACAGTATAACCCTTCGGCATATATGCTTGAATGATTTCGAAAGCCTCCCGCTCCCCCGGATAGACAAGTGTTAAATGATTTCGAAGAAGTTGGCCTTGCTAACCTCGGGAATCAGGTCAGTCGCTGTTTGTGCGATTGTCACGGGCCGTCCCTTCAGCCACAGAGATGCCACGGCACTATCCTTGTATTTGTTCTAACTGGTCCTCCTATCGGTGGCCGTTACCCCATCGTGAAAAAGTGATTCGAGATTCGAGACCCAGCAATGATACGGCCGGATGAGGAACGGAACGCCTCCTGTGCTTCCTATCTGTCGATAAAGGAAGGATTGATTGAAAAGGAGGTGAGGCAGTGGTACTTCCAGCTTCCATTCAAAATAGATTGTCGCGTGCCACGGCCGCTTCCCCAACGTATTGCATTCGTACAGTTCCCGAGAGCCGAGCCGTAAGAACTTTTGTCCCGGTATCCACAACTTCCGTTTCATAAAAAGTGGACCAACTGCATGGATTTCATCTCCTCCTTGGGGCATGTAGCTCCTACCGACAAAGGTTCTAGTGCGCAGTACCGCTCGCAAAGAAACCCGTTCTAGACCGTCACCAGCACACGGAAAGCCACCACACCGACAACCTCTGCACAAGCACATGCAAAGCCACCACACCGACATTTCAACGCAAAACAACAAACGTAGGTGTCAAAATCGTACCGGAATACAATAAGAGCAAAAACGGGGCGGCAAAACGAGAGCAAACCCCCCGCAGTCTTGGCACCTCGGTCAGCCAGCAAACACACACGCGACGAATCCACTCTGCGAAATCACACTCAACCTAAAGCCACCACACATGTATGTGGTGTGCACGAGATCTTGAGTGAAAAAAACGCCTTGTCGAGAAAAAAAAAAAGTAGAAAGGCGGCAGAGCATTCGCCCGCTCACTGCAGCATACTGTAACCACTCAAACCGTTCACAACAAAATTCGCTCAAGACACCATCCCTCATGTACCTCTTCGACATCATGGGGGTGAGGAAGGGGTCACCACGGGTGGTCCGTCCCAAAACCATGACTTTTACTGACGTTGCACGACGGACGAATCAGAGGCTGGCTTCTAACCAGCAACAACGTTCATGAAGAAAAGACGGGAACCTGACCACCTTCGACAAACAAATCCAGAGAACCCACCGTGCGCTTTTGGATCTAGTCTGGGAATGAACCAGCAACGTACAACGGTGCCTAAGAAGCGCTCTTCGACTGGGTCATGGACTCAAGACGGGGAGGGGGGTGATCTCAACCCGCTGTAGGTGACTCCAAACTCCAACCATGCAACAGCTCGCCCCAGAACATTTGTAGATAAACTAGCTCCCCAGAGTATCGACTTCGCCCTACAACAATATTTGTATGTCGCTCCCTAGAGCAACGAGTGACAGGTGGAACTATTCATCCCCCTTTCTTTTCCCAGCGCTGCAGCATGGCTAGATTCTCCGTCACGACCGACAGCAAGCGCTGGCAGCAAATCGCCTGGCTACCCGTGACGCCGAGCACGGCCCCCGGGACGACGCTTTCCTTGCACCATCGCACTGCTTGCAACACCAAAAAAAAAACGGCAACGATAAACAAGATATTACCGCGGCAAGGAGTGAGTCACGACCCCAACAACGTCAGTGACATGTATTTGCGGTGCAAGAAAGGCGTCATCATGTTCGCAAAAGGGGGAGACAACGATCAGAGAGAAAGCAAGAAGGTTTTGGTTGCATCCAGCAGCGAGTTGTGCAGCAGAGCTTCAAAGGGCATGATAACGAAACCACAAAACGACATAGGACAACGACCTTTAGAAGGAAGCGACGCGGAGTACGTCATCGGGCGAAAACACGCAAAACGAATTGAAAACAAACAAAAACATGCTTCCACAAACGACTCACGAAAGCATTCGGCAACGTCCATCGCCATATGAAACACTTGCAGCAAAGCCAGAAACGCAACGTAGTGAATGAGCGCTCTACGAGAGTTGTATGCATATGATCGCTATGGTAGATGATATGGATATTTGTATGCTCGATTGGGTTCGAAAAACACACACACAAACTCACCACCGTCCGATTCCCACAGCATGCCTATTGCGGGCTCGTACTCCGCACCCAGCCCCCCCTTTAGCAGCTTTGTCAGAGTCTCCCCGGGACGGGCGGGATCTCCCTTCGCCGATACCTCAGACTGCCAACAATAGAACAAAGCCAAGGAGGTGATGGCTCGATGAACTTGTTTGGACCCCAGCACGGTATGCAATGAAACAACACAAGAGGGAGACTATCCGAACGTACGAGCCAACCCCACTTCGCGCGCATATTGGCAAAACTGAGACAGCTGAGGGATAAGGCAAATACACAACAACACAGGAGAGAGGTTATCCGGATGTACGAGTCAAACCCAGTTCGCGCGCGCAGATTGGCATCACCCTGAGACAGCTGAGGGATAACAACAACAAATACAACAGCAACGGCAACTGAGGCAAATACAAAAACAAAGTAGGCGGAAAGTCGCGGCAAGGCTATAAATGCACACCTTCGAGGGAATACCCCAGTTGCAGGGGTATTCAACACCTCATGAATCAAAGACACAACAAAAAAAGCAATCATAACACTATTCCACAACCTGTGAATACCCAAACCAGTACCTTCAGAGTCGTCGACATCGCTCGGAGCAGCTCGGACACCTCCCAGCCCAGCCCCGACAGCGCCTCTTGCAGCCGTAGCCGCGCGCCGCCTCCATCCCCGGCGGCGGGTTCGGCTGCCTTCTTGCCCTTGCCTTTGCCTTTCCCCTTGCCACTCTTCTTCTTCTTATCCGCTGGGAGCTGCGATAGCAAGGGAAACAAGTAAGGCGAGAGCAGCAAGAGGCCGTCAAGGATGAAGGAGAGCGACGCATCACTACCGTTCGGAAAAGCATGCTAACGTTAAACTTTTTGGGGTTGGGGCGGAGTTTGCACCCCCGGCTGTAGCTCCCCCCAGTCCATTCAGCACGGACCACTTTTGAGCCCAAGTAACGTTCGATATTCTGCATCCGCTCTGTACCTGATACGATAGCGACAAAGAAATAAAGCGTGTGTTTGAGACGGGGGGGGGACTACCTGCGCCAGTCTCTAAACCTTTACCCGTACCAGTTGTACTTCAACCGTCCGCCGGAGGAGGGATTCGGTTTTCAAGGTAGGCAAATGCATTTTCAGGAGAGTGTTGACTCAACGAGAGCTGTTCGAGGCAGGGCGGGAGGGGTATCGGGTATCGTCCGTCATTTCACGATGCCCACCATTTACCAAGGCCAAGCTTACACGTAGCAGGGAATTCCAGGGTAGCACTACAAAAATAATGCACGTGAAATAATGTGAAGAACGTGCATTTGTGCACGAACCGTCCCCAATAAACCGAGACAACAGTGTATGAAAACATCCCCACCCCGAAACAGTGAATCGCACCCGCAGGTTGAGCGCACCCGCCGTAGGCAGACAAACATCTCCGCGGCAAAAAAAATGCGGGGAAACTGCTGCCCTTTCGCAAAAACAAAAAAAAATCCGTACCTCGGCGCCGAGAGCCTGCAAGACGATGGCGGTGTACACCAGGCCGTCCGTCAGCGTCTTGCTCACGAGCCGGAGCCACTGCGACCGCAACGGGGTCTCCGCCTGCCGCAAAAGGTTACCGGGGGATGAGGGGTCACTTTCGGGTACAGCAGTGGTCCCGGAATATTGCCAGTCGAACAATGCCGGTTTTCACTGCTGTGTTGCATACGCCGGTGACTCGCTGGAACAGATGGATTTTCAAGCTGTTTCATACTCTGAATAATGCCGCTTGCCCGCCATAATGCCGGTGAAATCGGCTGGATCGCAACGGCATTCCACCGGGAATTACTGTAAAAATGTTTCGGTGCGGTCGTGAAAGGCGTTGCGACGAAAGTCTGTAACCGTCAGGTGAAGACAGCCTGTGTGTGCACAGGCATGTCGCGAGGGTGGCGTTTTGAGAGGGGGGGGGGGAGGGGCGGGATCGACCCTACCGTCCGTGGTGATGGTGACTGGATTGAGAGATATCCTCGGTGGTCGCCCCACCGCCGCTGTTGTTGCTGCCGCTGCGGCTGCTACTGCTGCTGCTGCTGCTGCTGCTGCTGCTGCCGCCAACACCAACCTGGCGACCATGCTGCGCATCTACTGCCGTCACACGGGGTGCTACTCTCTACCAAGTCCTGGCGCTGCCTCTGCTGCTGCTGCTTCTAACCGCACCAAATAGCACAACAACAGCTGCCACTACCACCACCACCACCACCAAGGCAAGACCCCCCCTTGCCCCTCTTGCCTGGTAAACCTTGCCGCCGCCCTCTGCACCGTTTTTTCCGCTGTCTAGCGTCAGCACGTGCCGGGGACACGAAGCCAGAAGGTCCCTGCGAAACACGGAAAAGGGCCAGGTCATGCACGTGCGATCAAACATACATGACGATACATGCGCGAAAACAACAACAATGTGTGAGTCGATCGCAAGGCGGCAGAAGCAACCAACCGTCAACCCAAACGAGACGTCTCGGCAATCGACACCTCTACGCACTACGCACACGAGCAAGTGGCAGGCAATAAAAAAACGGAGAAAGTATGCTCCGATGAAGAACGGGGGGTTGCAGCAAACAAAGCCTTCTGCATGACCCCCAAATCTACGAGGTTGCCCTAAAGCAGGCAACCGCTCTTATACTCTACACGCGTCCAATAGAAATCAGATTGGACGCAGAAAAGAAGCCTCCTGTGTGACCCCCAACTCGATCAGGCTGCCCTAGGCAGGCAAACTCCCTCATCTCGCCATAGAAATCAGATGGGATGTATGTGCAAAGCGCCAAGGAAGGAAAAAAAGCTCAGGAGGTACCAACCCACCTGCAAGACTTCGCGCTAGCCGCGGCGCCCCCCATGGCCTCCGCCGCCTCCCGCAGCACTGCCTCCGAGGCAGCAGCCGTCCCCTTGTCCCTCAGTGGCTAG